CAATAAGGAAAAGGCGTCTCAGGAGGGCTAAAAATCTCCACTGTATGTTTACGGAGTTAATCATTGTAAAAAAAAATAATGAACGAATCTCTCCATGCCACCGTGATTCTTTTCTACCAGTGCTTAGTGCCTCAGCTCGAATTCAAATTAAAAGGATTCAATTCAAAGCACGAATATAATAGTACCTAAGCTGCTAAGGAGGTAGGTACTATGTAGCTGGTATTCAAGAGGCAGGCGGGGGGAAGCCCCTCTACGGCCCGCAAGGCAATGTGGGGTATTGACTTATCTAAGGTACATAATCAACATTGAATACAACGAGTTTGTACAATATATATTTCTTTCTCTTCCAAATCATAAAACTGACATTTCCATGTAAACCTCTTGTTATCGTTTCATTTCGTCGTAACCCAAGTCGCCAATCTTCCACCAGACTTCCCTTTCTTTCAAATACAATACCGCCAAGATGATGATCAAGTACGTCGACCCTCTCTCACTTCCTACACCCCGCCATATCAGTTTCACAATCGAGCCTTTAACAGGCAAGTACCTAGTTAGACGACATAAACTGACAAGCTGGACAGAGTGAGAACCCTTACGGGCAAGCTGATCTCGCTCGACGTTGAGCCCACATCCAAGGTACGCGTGCCTTGTCTACCTACAATCCCAAACCCACGTCGCAAGAGACGGACGACGGCGGGTCGCATTGCGCCATCCTGCTTATCGCGAGATTACTACACCTACCAACACAGCGAAGAAGATCGGAAACGGCAAGACAGGCACAAAGAAGGCTGACAACTATATTCTAATAGATCGAGGACGTCAAGAAGAAGGTCGAGGAGAAGGAGGGTATCACACCCGACCAACAGCGACTAATTTATGGTGGAAAGCAACTGTTCGTCTTCCTTACTTCCGATCCCGTCATCCCCCTCCCTAGTCGCATTCTCCCTCTTGACTCGAAAATAGCCACCGCTGACTCTTTCTCTTCTACCTACTTAGACACGACCAACTGACCATGTCGGACGCCGGCATCGTACCAGATGCAACCCTGCATCTAGTCCTAACCCTCCGAGGTGGTCGCTGCTAGACTGCCCAACATCACCAAATCCCGAACTCTATCGATCTATTTAAATCATACGTCTCCGGTTCGCTCTCGACAAGCCCTACCAAGGCAAGGATGGGGGTTAAAAGGCCTAGGGTATGGTGTGAATGGTAATGGGCGGATGAGCGTCCACGTGAGAGAACAGCAGCAGGGCTGTTTAGAAGCCATTGCATGAAGTCAGTCTCTTACTGTTCTTCGCATATGGCATTACGTTTTGATTGGGCGATCTCTGCATTGCGAAGAATTCATTCATAAGAGACCAAAGGCTCTGATTCTACGGGTGGGAATACCTAACCTAGCCTGGCGGTAGCATCTCGAATACAGAAGAACCGAGCACCAATATCTACTATTTAACTCAGACGTGATTTACCATTTCTATTTGATCGCTGAATATTGCGATATTTGAGCAGCCTACTCAGGACTGTCGAAATTCCGAATCAGTTACCTCACCTAACTATTAAGTGTATAGGGAATGAAGCCCAGCAATGAAAATGCAATTTGTTAGTAACGCAGGTTCTCAAGTCTAACCCTCTGCATAACTATGTCTCTGAGCCAGCTCATATTCTGCCGACCAGAAACACACGCAAACGCCAAAGCTAATGTAGAATGCATTGCATTTTCGTAAATTTCTTTTAAGAGTACAAACTTCCTTATGACCGTATGATTCCGTGGAATACCACCAGAATAAGAGGAGCAACTGTTATAACTCACTAGCTAAAATAAGAGCGTATAGTAATTATATGCAACGTAGTCTGCCTAATTCGTCACCCTTGGCACATCTCAAGCTTTAGGTAGAGATAGACGCCATCCCTTTTGCACATGTGTCATGCCGTGCGATCAAATGACTCCCTTTCCGCAATGCCATGCTTTATGTCCATAAAGTTCCACTTGACTCACGAGGTAAGTGAGTAGAAGAGGAACCCTCAACTGTTCCGATCATGTTCTCCGTTGATAGAAAGGTTAACCTCGGCGGGATAAAAAGGAAAAACGGCATAATCGCAAATATTCCCCGTAGAGATGCTGTGGCATCGTAAAATCATGCCGTGCCTGATGAAGTTTCAGGTAGTGATCAAAGAAAATTCCAATGCCGTTGTAACGATATGCCCTCTTAAGATCTCATCCTAGGAGACTGAGGGCTTGAAAAGTCATATAATAGAAAGAAAAGCGTATTGCTTCAAAATTGTCCCGATGGGTATAGGCGAGGGAATAGGGTTAAAAGGGGTATTAGTACCAGAGGCAATGTCGAATGCTTCGCCTCCAAAAATAGGTAGTATTTGGTGATGTCTCGTTGTTACAATCGCGCATCCATCTCATTATCGGATAACTGCGCGGACGAAGCATGCCCGATCTCTACGCGTCCCTTATGACATTCGGCGGACCTTAGGTTTAGGCTTCATGAAGACGCTAGGCGCAGCTTTACGCTTCTGTCCCGGCATGGGCGGCTTGGCCTTGGGAAGCGACTCGGGGTCGGGCGAACCACTAGGCGGAGAGTGTGCGGGGAGCTTCGGCGCTGTCGACGAAGCAGAAGCTGTGGGCTTGGGGGACGGCTTCGACACTGGTGTCTCAACGGTTATGACCTTGTCTCTATGGGCGCGGCCCATCTTCATCTTGGCAAGACCAGACAAGTTCGATGAGGCAGGTTTGGTCGCGGGCGCGGGGTTCGAAGACGAAGCCTTGCTTCGTGATGCCAGTGAAGTCATCGGTTGCGCATAGGAGGATTTAGTAGGCTTCTCTTCCTCAAAGACGTCCTCTAGATCGTCTATGTTCAGGCCGCCTCGTCCCTCGTCCGACTCATATTCCTCGTCAAATAACTCATCCTGGTCATCAAGGTCATCATCCGAGACGATGGTAGCGCCTTTCGTATGAATGCCGTTCTTGGCGTTGAGAAGTCGCTCCCTCATCTGCTTCTCGCGATCGCTCTCACGTGATCGATTGGTGGCGCCCAGAGCCGGTCGAGGCACCTGTGGTCTTCTCACCTTAGGAAGGGCGGCAGTTCGATGCTCCTCTTGCATGCCCTTCGGGGCGCGAGTGATCTGTCCTTGTGGGACTGGAAGCTGGCCGCTGGACGTGACAAGTCTGTTGCGACGGCCAATCTCAGCAGCTTCTCGTCGAGCCTTTCGCAGAATGCTCTGGCCAGTGTTCGTCTTCGTTCGCGACCCGCCGGTAAATCGAAGCCCGCCTGTGCCAGAGTCACCTCGCGGCCCGGGTATGCCTTTGCGACGACCGGGGACAGGGCCGAGGGTTCGTGGGTTGAAGTTGATGGCCTTGACAGCTTTGTCCTGCTTCTCCTTCTTCATGTTGCTGAAGCTGTTCTTCAATTTCTCCTCGGCTTCTCTCTTCGCCTCGGCCTCCATCACCGCGTACTTTCGGTAGATCTTGTGCCATGACGCAGGGTTGCGGGGCTCGAATCGGTGCTTCTTCGCGAGAACGGGAAAGTCGCGGTTGATCAGGCGCTGCCAACATTCGCCGGTGTCATCTCGAATGTGGGGAGAGTTCTCCTCTAGTGTCAACAGCTGCTCGGGGTTGTCGACTCTCAACAGGATCGGGCGAAGGATGGAAAAGGGCGCGCCGCCTACATCGTCGATTTCTAATTTGGGAGCCATGGTGTCAGCGCAAGCAATAAACGTAGATAGAAAACCAGAAGATGAAGTGGAATGGGTAAGAATTGACGCAAACAGAGTGAATAGGTTGAGAGACATACCTCGAACGTGCTTAATACACACGGCGGTGCATAAGCCCACGAGTGACTTGACCATTGTTTCTTTGATTCAGAGCTTTTACCTTCCAAAAGGGAAACAAACCGGTGATGTTGTATTATTGGTGTTGTCTTTTCAAATAGATGACTAGAAGCCGGCTAGTAGGTCGGGATGCGATTTAGTTTGTGTGGCAAAGATACGTGTCTTTGGACCAGGAGGATTCAGATGGGGAGAAGTGAGGAAGATCCTTCTCAGATATTTCAGAGGAAGGTGAATGTTGATGGATTGGATGAATATTGAAAGTTCCAAAGGCAATTATTACTAGCCCTGAGCTTGATAGTCGTCGAAGCTTATCATCGACATACAACCTTGTTAGACTCCTCGTGACAATTGTTGGGGAGATGGCAGGAGGAGAGCTCGAGTGGAAGAAAGATGGATTGTCTCGTTCTAAGATTCGAAATATTCAAAGAAGAGATTGTTTGTCTGATGCTGATGATTTGATGGATATGATTGTCGTTCGTCGTGAATTGAATATTTACATGCCCTGGTCAGCCAGGCGAGTCGAGGTCGTCAAGGGAGCGTAGCTGTAATCTACCAGCACCAAAGCAATGTGACGATGGCGAAAAACGTCTATCAAGGAATTTAGGTATATTAAGATTATAATTCCGTTCCAAGACCAAAGAAGTTGTTCTTTTTGATACCTCACACATTGTTCGCATACTTTGTACAAAGAGTCAAGACTCGAAAGCGAAGTTGTATTTCGGAAGTTAGACTTGAGGCTGACACGTGGGTCGCTGATCTGCGATGCTAGCTTTTGTTTGGCAGTCTTGAAGATCCGGGGGGCAAGGGGTTATAGAGATAGGAGTATTACGCAATCACATGTCTTGATACATATCTGCTTAGACGGCACAGTATGTATGTATCTGGGTCTAAATATAGTTGTAGGTTTTTTCTCCTTTTTTTTCTTCACGATTTTTATTTATATCAGATGAAGTCTCAAGCTTCGGATACTGTGTTCGTGTTTATGTTTGTCACTTAGGGAGTTGATTGACCGATTCAAAGCACACATACAATAAATGTAGCCAATACATGTATTCAATGCTCATTCTCTAGCTCAAGAGACGGGCCTATAAACTTGTAGAACGCTAACCGTCTTCATATACTAAAGCTGATAAGACTCACGAAGCAAATTAAATATGCGCAAAGCTATCTTGGCCGAGTGGTTTAAGGCGTTGGTCCCAAGTCTTCGATCTCACGATCTATCTTGAACACACCAATATCGAAAGATGCGCAGGTTCGAACCCTGCAGATAGCACAACGCACTTATGTTTTGGTATTTTTTTCTCTCGTTAGTTACCTATAAATGCGTTTTCCTTGATAAGAATTTGAGGGGCTCAGGTTTGAGGTGTTGGTGAGCTATTGCCCTTATACTTATACAAGGTACATAGCTATGGATGTAATTATTATTCATGTAGGAACGAGTAGCATCATACCAATTCGTTCCGTCACCATTCCAATTCCATCTAATTCATGAGATAACGCTGTATGAATTATACTAGCATGGACTCTTTTACTACCTAAGTTATCCGCGATGTGCTGCTTAGCAATGCCACCGTTCGACGTCGGGTTATACCCCTAGCCAATCTCTAAAAGCTAGACAGAAATGGGAATGTAATTCAATTACGAACAAAACAAGAACCACCTTTCATGAATTTTTGACGACCGATATACCCGCTGATGTTGGTATCTCCCTGTCCTCCGTGGACCCCTTACGCCGTGACGCCATTAGACCGTGTGATGCGAGTAGAACTCTTGGTAATACCCGAATAGGTGCGGGCAAGTTTATACATGAACCGTTATATCGTTTCCTTCCATTGCAATCTCTTCCAAATCACCAAGCGGTAGGCATTTACGCTGCTGCCGCAACGACTCGCGAAGGTGTTGCAATGGCGGGCTCGGGTTGATCGGGTTCAGGTACCTGTTCCTGGTTGGCAATCTCACCACCGGCTTCCGTCTCAGCCCAGGCGCCCCAGAGACCACGCTTGCCTCTTACTCGAATAGCACCACCAAGCTCGCCATCCTTCTGCTCAACTTTGATGGCGTCCTTGGTCGCCAGTACCAAACATTCAAAGAACATCTTCGTGGCGTCGGCCTTGGATGTTCTTTCCTCAGGCAACAGATCTTGGAATACCACAGACTTCATTCGCTTCTCTTCGTCGGTAGCTGCCTCCTCGCCGAACAAGTCCCGGAGAACGTGAACCGCATGTTTCGTACCCAGAGAAACGGGGCCGCTGTCTGCGGGGTGAACTATAGGAGCAGTGGTCTCGTCGAAAGCAGGCATTGGGCTTCCCTCGCGGGGTTGGTGATCATCGTCATCATGGTGTATAATATCCTCATCGGCGGGAATTTCAAGAATGGTACCATCGGGTGCAACACTTCGCTCACCCAACTCTGGCTCGGGAATAGCTAATCCATCGTCTTCCTCACCAAGTTCCAAGCGCGGGGATTTCGATGTTCCCTGTTCCTCTTCTTCGCCAACATCGGCGACCCCACTGTCCCGCTTACGCTTCAGATCGTTAATTGGTCTGATGGAATCAAGGGAAAGCAATCCTCTTAATTCCGGGGCCCAGGCTTTGCTACGGCTGTCACCTAAGACGTTAGAGACAAAGCTGCCGCTGTTCTTCAATTCGACCAGAGCTAGGAAATACGGATCCCTTGAAATATAGCTAGGTTCCTTGAGGATATTCTCGTGGTTCTGTTGTTGTTCTTTAATGTGCGCACTAGTTAGCTGGGTGGAAGAATCAAGTCCAAAGACCTTGCGCTTCTTCGACTTCTTCTGAGGGAGCGGTTCGGGTTCTTCGGGTTCTTGTCCAGGCTCGTATATGCTCGTGTTGTTCAAACGCGTCCATTCTTCGACGTCCCGCGCCACGTTTTCGTCGATATCGGAAAGAGGTGATTCCGAAATGCGGGCCCGTTCGAGACCAAGGGCGCCTCCCATCTCGGGTACCACCGATTGTTCACCAATGTTGAATTGAAAATCATCGTCCATTTGGATGTCTCCGTCCCCATCAGCAATCCTAACGGTGTCATCTCCAAAGTCAAGATTCAAAGACGGCTCGCGATCTGCGCCCTTTGCGGGAGGTGCGATATCCAATTCGCTGAACATGTCGTCCTCAACTGATCTGGCAGCAGGCGCATCTCGACCCATTTCGATGCTTTTGTCCATCCGAGGTCGCTCATCGATATCCATGCCGAAGTCCAGGTCCAATTCCAAGTCATCCATAGGAGCGAGAGCAACTTCGTCCTGGTCCATGTTATCATCTTGCAGAAATTGGCTGTTGTTAAAATCCTCCTGCAAATTGATGTCACGGTTACTTGGTCGACCGCGACCTCGAGTGCCCGAGCTGACTTGAGAGGCGTTGACATCTTCCATCTGGCTGAGTAGCCAGTTGGCGTCCGGGGGTGGTAGGATATTAAGATTATCGGCGGGTGTAATTTGATCGGGAAGCATCAGTGCTTCTCGATTCGGCATGTTTAAATTCTCGGGTATATCATTGTTTCCCGTAGAACGAAAAGCCTACCTCTATTGTTAGCTGGTTGATCTATGGGGCCGTAAGAGGACTACAAACCATTTTGATTTTAAGTAAAGCTTCATTGCAGTCGTCTAAAAGGTAGCGAGCTTTTCGACTGTAAATTCTGACGACACCCAGCAACAACTGACCGCTCAGACGGAGCGCCATGGGCGCTTGGTTTGGTGTAATGATGGCATCAACACTGTCGGGTAGATTGGATTGCAGAATATGGGTCTTGGAAAGTTTGCGCTCCAAATTTGCCGACAGCCAGACTCGAGCCAGTGGCCCGGTCTTCTGTAGCAAGGTCTCGGAGTAGAACATCGCGACAGCGACGACGAAGCAATATAGAAGAGCAGAGGATCAAGGCGACAAGGTAGTGCAAATATTGAGACTCGGTTAAGGTAGCATCAAGGCGATGAGTCAGTGTTGGACGCGACAACGCGTTGGAATAAAGAGGCTTTGTTGGTGTAAACAAGCTGAGGAATAAGGAGCGCTCGCGCGTTGTTTTGGGTGACCTTGACTAGTCTCCAGTCTGCGATTCAACTCGGCGCGCAGACGATGCGCAAATATTATAGCGAAGTTGTTAGATGGTATTATTGCAATTAGTGACAGCAATATCTAATATATCGCGAAGTATGGGAGGGTTTGTGCTTGGACAAGAATGAAAGATTGATTAGAGGAGGGGACTGGGGGACTTTGCTTTGGGAAATTGGGATTGGGTCGTCCGCAGACCGCAAGCAAAATGATCGCGCTTTCCCTGCTTTAAATCAGTGGCTGGATTTGTTACAAGGATATTTGGTGGGGTCACTGAAAGGGTTTTTCTGACTTTTTATTGGCTGTTCGTCACTCGGGCTGTGGCTTACGTACAATAAAGTACATGTACTGTATCGAGACAGTCCCCACTGTAAGGAACTAAAATAGGTAAATGCATAAAACGAGTTCCATTCCATTAAGAGCTTAGACTCTACTGAGAACTTGAGCACAAAAATGTTACATTGTTTTCGGTACGACGACTCTAATATATGAAACATCCGAAATACATATGTGGCATACTAGCATGAGCTTAAGGTGATGAAGTTTACTCGTTCTGTTTGCGTTCAGGCTTAGAAACCACGAATACTACTGACAAGTCTAGGAATTAAACCTCAACACAGAAACAACCCATTTCGTTTTAGAACGGAATTGTGCTTTCAATTTTTGGTAATTACGTATTATGCATTTCCAACGCGGTAATGTTATTTACAAACATGCGAACTATAAGATTACTAATTCTGGTGCTAGACTTATGCCTTATACTATTTCGAATATAAGTCGCGAGCTTCAAAGGAAGTGTTCAGTCATGAAAAGATAAATCTTAATCGACACCAACGATCATGAGAGAGAGCTTGTAAATACCTACCTAGGTTAGTAGGTAATTGAAGTTACAGCATTGCCCCTTGCGTGTAAGAGGCTGAAAGTCTGCAGCCACGGCGCTGCAACGGCAAGGGGGAATAAAAGCCGGGTGCCTTGAGGTTACTTAAAGTTAGCACGCTGGGGTAGGTTTAGTGCTACCTATTAAGTACCTCCTAGCTTGCTCGAAACCCATCGGTTGGTAACCAACTCGATTAAACTCTCCAAAAAAATCAAGCTCCACGTCTTGCGCATCTGGCCAAAAAGCTGCCAAGAATTATTTTCCCAGATACTTTGACCTTGTTCAACACGTCACTTCATTTTCTACAATTCTAGCTTAAATATGCATTTTTCTACTGCTTCATAGTTCATCCAGTACATATTGATATAATATCCACTATCTTGACGTGCCGACCTGGTGGTAAATGTTCTTTGGCTTCCCCCATGCGTTACTGCGTTCCCCTGGTTCGCCCGTCGACCCTCTTCCAAAATGCCATGGCCATGGCGCGATCGCGATACCAACGGCGATTCTTTACTTCCAATAGCCGTGCCTAGTATCAATGGAATAAATCGAGATTATGATCAAGATGGGGAAGAGAATATGGACCGGTCCCGGTCAATATCTAGAAAGTCTGGTCATGCCCGGACTACATCTGCTCAATCACGGGTGAGAACCTTCCAAGGGCAATCCAAATTGCGAGGCAGGAGAAGGCATTTAGAGCATATAACTAATTCGATTTCTGTGATAGTCTATAGCTGATGGGTATTCGTTTTTATCACCAGCCGAGACCGCTTCTCGCCTTCAAACCTCCTTGACGCATGGCCTCTCTCCCACCGAAGCCCTCTCGCGATTAGGAGATTTCGGCCCCAACGAGATCCCTCATGAGCCCCCAGATCCATTATGGCTACGATTTATAATGCAATTTCGAGAACCCTTAATTATCCTGCTTCTCGTATCAGCCTTCCTCTCTATATTCGTCGGAAATATGGATGACGCTATCAGTATTACAATCGCCGTGACAATAGTAGTCGCAGTTGGTTTCATACAAGAATATCGATCCGAGAAGTCCATCGAAGCTCTCAATCATCTTGTTCCTAACCATGCTCATCTCGTTAGGGCGCAATCTACACGAACTGCTTCCAATGCGAAGAATCCTGTCTGGCCCCCGGTTGTGAGCGACCCAGAAGAGAAATCCGACTCAGAGGCACCAGATGAGGAGCTAATGGAAGCGACTTCATCCAAAGTGATGGCAGCTCAGTTGGTTCCCGGCGATTTGGTGTTTTTCACAACAGGCGATCGTATCCCCGCTGATATCCGCATCACGAAAGCCGCCGACCTGACTATCGATTCATC